CTCTCCTTGTCCCCATGCCCCGGGTAGGATGGGCCAGTCCGGCCCCCAAATGAGGAAAGATCTAGAGAACCCCTTGGATCCCCGCCACACAACAGCAGCCAAATCTCCCAGCTCCTGGGTGGGTTGTCATTGGGCAACCCCTTCTTTGTGGTTAACGTTCTGATTCCTTAGTATCCTCACCGCATCCAGCTCACTCCTCGTTTGCCCAAGGGGCCTGCGTACCCACCAGCCATCAGCTCCATCTAGGGGGTCTCTGTTTCTTCCCCAGTGGAGTTCCTCAGACTTTTACAGCGAGAGAGATCTGTGTTGCCTCTAAGCGTTTATGGAACCACCCTTTAGGTTGACGTTTCTCTGACTTGTCCCCCTGGCTGACCATTGTTTTCCGGGGGCAGAGCACACGGGTACCCTACCTACAGGAATGGCATCATCCCTCCCCGCCAACCCCGGCTCTCTGCTCACCTTCCAAAGGCACCTGGAAGCGCACGAGCCTCACGCGTCTCCTTCCCTGGCCACCAACCGTGCTGCTGGCCCCGGCCTGCTCCTCTCCTGTGGCTGGAGACCTCAGGCTGACTGTGTTATCTCCTCCTCTGGAATATTCCCAGACTCCACTGGGCCAGACCCAGCATCCTCTACCTTCTTGGAAGTGCCAGCATGGGGGAAAGTGGACAGGAAGAAGCAATTTCCCTTTAGTCACTCCATAAAGCAATAGCTCCATGAAAAAGGCGTGGATTCTGTTCATCCTCCTGATCCCTGTGGAGGAGGTATTGCACTTTACCAAGTTGATGCATTCCTACCAGAAGCGGGCCCATGAGTTCTGCAAACCAACGATCGTTGTGATGACTTCATTGGAGGAAAGGTAATACGTGCCCATCAAGAGCCCCAGGTTAATACAATTCAGAATGCAGCAAACCTTTCAGGAAGCCACATAAATAAAAATTGATTAGTTTCCTTATACCAGTCCTGTGGGGAAGAACCATATATTCTTCACACTGCTTTTTCTATAGCATTCTCTCAGTTCAAAGGGATCCCTTTTCAAAGGCTGCCTTTATGAAGCCAACACTGTTCCTTCATGACAACAGATGGCATTGGAGTAGAGGTTGAGAAAGCTGAATTTTCTTCATGGCTTTACACTTCCCTCCTGTGTGACCTTGGGGAAATCATTGTCCTCTTGGGGCCTCAGTTTCCTTATCTATAAAATTAGTTCTTTAAAATGGTCTCTGAGGGCCCTAAAGCTGGCATTTAACTTTTGTTTCCACCCTGTAGGGGGGTAATTCTCACTGTTGGAAGGTATTAACCAAATGGGTTTACATGTGTCCTTCCACTGCCTTTGTTTTTCTGGGCCTTATTCTTTCCAGTTTCCTGTGTTTTAATGTCGAGAGGATGAGCTCAGAGAAGTTATCATGGCCCTGCTTTTCCAGTCTGTGAAACGGAAGGGCTGGATTAGATGGTCTCTGTGGCCCTTCTCAACACCAACCTTGCCCAGAGCCGCACAGCAGGCCATGCGCTTTCCATCCAGTGCTTCTCGCATCTTCTCTGCCTCCACTCAGGGTGGGAACCAGCATTCGCCCCTCCCTTGTCGGCGTCAGGTTTGGCGAACCTGGAGGGGGCTTGGGGAGCACCTCCCTGACTTTCACGGACAGGCGTGTTTTGCTCATACTCCCATTTCCCGGAGTTTTGCCAATCTGAGGGTTGTAATGTGGTTTGCCTTTTCTCCTCATCGCTGCCTCAGATGCTCAAGATGCTGTTTTCAGAATCTCTTCCTGCTGCTTTTCCTGGCTCAAGGCTGCAACCCCTCACTTGTAGCCTCCCTGCCATTCTTCACTGGTCAGCAACCCTTTGAGTCCACAGGAAACCGGACCTGAGCGGCCGTCAGCTGAGGTCTGTGGCTCTGCGGGTGGGACTGGCGTGCCTGCAGAGGTTGGCCAGTCAGTCTTCTCTCTGGGCGCCTGGAGCCCTGGATTCCGGCGCTGTGTGCAGCTCCTGGTGCCAAAGGCTGGGTCTCTCCCCAGCTCAGCGGCACCGGCGTCTGCCCCCGCCCAGAATGCTCTGTGGGAGAGGGCAGCTGTGGGGCCCTCTTGCTGGGGCTGCTGACTTAAACTCTGAGTGCAATAGGGTTTGATTGTACAGTTATTTCAGGATAAATATTGTTTCCTTATTCTGCACACTTTCTAGAGCCCGCTGTAAAATAGATTTTATTTTTAAACGTCCTCACCATTGCAGAAAATACTATTTGTAATAGCAAGTGAAGGCTAGAGGCGCAGTTCCTCTGGGCTTCAAATGGCTGGCAAGACTGGCTCTCAAATTCCAAAGTTGGAAGGCCCGTTTCCAAAAAGCAATCTAGGCGTGACTGTCCAGCCCCGGACCTCTCCATCAGAGGTCCTGGAGGAAACTTCCAAGTGGGAGACCTAATAGTTGAATAATTGTCTTATCAAGCCAAATATTCCCACTGTCGCAGCCAACACACCCACTTTTTACGACCAGTCTCTTCCACAGCCTGGCTCTGACTCGGACTTTTCCTGGCAGGTGTGTAGTTGTGGGAGGGCTTCTAGGAGGGTCGGGGAATCTGGCACTCCAAGAGCTGCTCGACTGGAGGAAGGGCTGCTGGAGGCAGAGCTGGCTACACGCAAGGAGCTGGTCTCCGCCACCTGCTGCTGCCTGACTCACCACTCGTGACACTCGGAACAGTCAGAGAAAGGATGGATGGGGATGGTGGGCAAGGAAACCGTAGCTGTTGTGCTCTTGTGAGGCGAGGAAACAGTTACAGGGTGGCGGACGGGCTCTGCAGTGGGCCAAGGACTCCAACCTCAGCCACAGGCGAGCTTGCACATAACTCCTCACCCTCTCGTGGGGGTGGGGGCGTCTGTCCTGATCTTGGACTTGTCATCTCGGGGCAGTTTTACTTCTTTACATTCAGTGGGGTAGTGCCAAGTGCTCCCACTCCCCAGGAAAGGACTGGTGACCCCGTCTCCGGGTCCCCAGCTGCCTTTGTTGGTGTGGGCTTATTGTTACTCTGACAAGACTGCTTTGGAAGAGCTGCTTTTAGGGATTCCCTTTTAAATACCCCAGGTTGGGAACAGGGTTCTCACAGCCAAGATCATAGGAAAGGGGCCCTATTTTCCTGCTGCTTCACAGCTCAGAACATGTACTGAATGGAATGTATTTTTAAGAGAATAAAGTCTATTTTTTCTTTTTTTTTTTTTTGTATTTTAAAGATTGGGAGGGCTAGGGAAGTAGCCCTCAAATAAACTGTTATTACCTAATAGGCCCCCTGGCTGGGGACACATCAGTGTGTTGGTCTCCACCTACTCGCTCAGGCGGGCCCTCTGGCCGCTCCCGTGCCCCTTGGAGGCTGGGTGCAGCAGCTTCTCTTACATTCCTGCTCCAAGCACGGGACCAAGGAGGCCAGACCCTGTCGCTGGAAACCAGGGCGAAGCCGTGAGCAGTGACTCAGGGCTCCTGGGGTGCATGTGTGGAGTTGAAGCTGCCTGTCTGCATGTATCCTCTGGCTCTAATGCGGTCTGTTGGCTCCGCAGCACAGTGTAACCAATAAAGCTCCCTAGTTTCCACGCGCTGTGTGAGTGTGGCTCAGTGCTGCCATCCTCCTCGATGTCATCTCCGTGTACAACTGTCGCTGTGCATTGGTGCAGCTAGTATATTTCACTGTGTTTTACTGAAGATACTCAGCCAATTACAGCTGCCGTTAAGGACTGGAAACACAGCTGAGGCCATGGATGTTTCCTCAGACTCACGTAAGTGGAGTTAGAATCACAAGGCAGTTATTTTATTGCTGCATTTTACTTTTAGGCTTATCTGTCATCAGATACACACAAAACAATTATCTGTATCTCCCAGGCTGCCTGTATCATTAAATAACACAAACTCTTTAAAGAACACATATCACGACATTAGACACCTAAGCCCCTGATGTTCATGGCAAAACAGATGTTCATGGCAAAGCTAGGGTTCAAATATAGGTTGTATTCCAAAGTCAGTATACTTTCTACTCCCTGTTCTCACCTTGACGTCATGGTTACACCACTTGTCCTAATCCCGGTATGCAAATTTTCCCATGGTTGTCCTTCATTCCACCTAGGGAAAATGCCCTCTCCATCTCCACCTTCTAGTCAGACTATAACGTCCTTAAATCTTACTAAGGATAAAATTTCATATAAACTATTTTTAGGAAAGAATTGACTAACAGGAGGAAAATCCAATTTATTGAAGCAGATTATGTACCCACACTTAACCAGTAACATAGTCTGTTAGGAGCCCTTTGGAAGAAACAGGTGCTGTTCCTTTTTTGTAAAAACGTTTTAACCTTACATGGCGAAGATTTTGCAAATGTGACTAAGCGTTTTGACATAGGAGAGGTGATCTGGGTGGGCCTTAAACGAAATCAGAAGTATCCTTATAAGAGGGAGACCAGAACAAGATAGGGTGATGATGGAAGCAGAGACTGGGGTAATGTTTTTTTAAGATGAAGAAGGGGCCACAAGCCAAGGAATATAGTCACTAGAAGCTGAAGGAGCAAGGAAATGGAATATTCCGACAGAGCCTGCGTAGCTATTATCTAAACCCTTGATCTCCTTAAACTTTTCTATCAGTACCTTGGAGAGAAGTGGAAAGTTAGCATGTACCCATGGGAGGGAATCTAGGGGAATAAAGCCAGAACGGTCTGCCAGAGGCCCAACCAACCTTTGTGTCAAAGCTTGTGTTTTATCTTGAAAATTCATTCAGCTTCCTAACACCCATATGTATGACCTGCAGGTCCATATCCCTGGCACATGGTCACCCCACAGTCCCGGTGGTGGGCAAGTCTAGCCCCACAGACAAGGAAGCGTTCTGCTTCTATGTGAAACCCCTTGGTCCTGTCTTCTGATCACACCAAACCATTTTCTCCTTTATCTCATTTAAACATGGATAAACTTGGCATTTTCAAAGGAGTATCACCCCTGCTTTATATAGAACTCTTAACCCCAAGAGGAAACAAAAATCAGTCCTGATTTTCTATGAAGTTTATTCTCAAAATATAAAAAACCACCACAGACAGAGACTAAGACGTTGTCTCCCAGTACTTGCTTCCCTCAGTCCTGATGAAGAACACAGACTCTCAGACTAATGGAACAAGTGCCTCCCTAGCTCCAAGTCACAGGAGGCCACCTCCTTGGCCACCTGGCCATCAGGGGCTTTGCCTGAGCAGCTGAGCTGGAGCCCAGAGGTGGGCAAGTGTCTCAGTGGAATCTGTATTTTTTGCTAGAAGAGCTTTGCTTATGCAGCAGAAGACGCGCACGGGCTGCTTTCTCACATGTTCGGGGCCTGCTGCGCAGGGACGCCGGGTGTGGCCTGGCGAGGCAGGGTGTACATGGCCCCCAAGAACTGGTCTGCAATCCTTCCTGCTTCTCGCAGCCCGCTCAGCAGAGCACCATGGACCGTGGCTGGGTAGTTACGGATTGTGTGTTCTCCAGCAAAGAAGAGTCGAGGAATAGGCTATTTCAGGGAAAAGAATTAGAGAAAATCAGCAGGCTGCAAATATGCCTTATTACTGTATTTGAACTGCCAAACTCCTGTTGGCCTTTGAAGGCTTACTACCTCCGTTCCATTACTGGTCCATCATCCTACCAAAAAGGGTCTCCCGCAGGCAACTCCCTAAAGCACACAGAAGTAGAAACAGGGCACTAAAGCTCAGTGCAGCCTTAGTTCTAGGGTGATGTTTACCTGCACCTGGGCTTATTATCAGTTTAATTCTGGGGAACACCCAGTTCTAGACTTTCCTTTGCCTGATGTAGCATGTACTGGGGGCGTGGTGTCCTGACTACTCTGAATCACAGACAACACAGTACTTGTTCTTATTCTGGGACACTTGCCTCAGTTTAGAGCAGACCTCACTCACCACAGGGTTCTGGGAAACCATGACTGCTCCTAAAGACCACAGGTTATTTCTTAGGGGCATTTCCTGGAAGCCCCTAAGTAACGGATGCTGCAACAATCCTATGAGCCAGTACAAAATGGGGCACAATTAAAGATTAAAATACACACAATCTGAATAAGGAAAAAGTAACTGGTCTATACTTTGGACTCTTCCATTCTGAACACAGACTAGACTGACAAAGCCAGTAAGTAACAACTCAGACACACAATATTTCTCCTCCCTTTCCTTCTGCTCTTGATTATCTGAAAGGTTCGAGAACAGATTAAAAATCTGAAGAAAATCTTTTTAAAAGATTAAAATCTAAAAAAAACAGAACAACTGAACCAATAGCACTATTTTTACCCTGAAATCCTAGGGTACTGTCCTATTTCCAAATAAGCTCAGGTACAGTCTGCCAGTTTTTCTCACCTGTGGGGCACCTGGAATTGAGGGGCCAGGAGTGATTGGCTGAGCCATTAAGTCATAGTCATTTCCAGACGATCCTGCAGCTACATAGGAATAGGAGCCTCGGGCCCAGGGATCAGCACGCCAGCGAGACACTACTGTTTCCTTGGGCTAAAGAAAAAAACATGAGTGGAAGTTATTACTGGACACTAAGGACAAATCATGCATTTCTGAAAGGTGGAAAAGCTCTGATGGGTTGGGATACAGTGAGACATGAGTGCTGGCCAAGTGATAAATGCTGCTGCTCTGAAACAAAACACAGATGCCTTCTCAGGCTGCGAGGAGGTTCCAGGCTGCCTTCTCTGCTATGAATCCAGAGATTTACCTAGGACTTGACCTGTATTCCCTTTTGATTTTAAAATTCACATGAAGCATTAATATGCTTTATCTCAAAGGAATCATAAGACTATTTCAATGGACTTAAAGAAAGAACAATAGAAAAAAGTATCAAGATAATCTCTTAAAATTTCCTTAAGGGAATTTGGCTACTTTATCTAAAAGGTGGTCAGGGAAGTTGGGGGGCAGGTGAGGGGTGTGATTTCACAAGTAGAGACAACAGACAACACAAGTCAACAAAGGCAGCAAATAGCCTTCTCAATCCCCTGGCCCATACTCTGGGGGCTTTTCTCAAAACTATACTTGGGGCATGAACTCTAAACAGTAAACCCAGCACACACTCGATTCTGGCTGAAACTGCCCTGATCAAGAATTATGCTGCGACTGGAGATCCGTCAAACCCTGTTGTAGTCTTATGGCCCCAGATCCCTGCCTGCCCCGCCCTGCCCCGCTTACTCACCTGGGGCACCGCACTGCTGCCAAAAATCCCCTTGAGGATGGCCAGGCATCGGCCAACAATCACATCATCACTTATGTTTTCCATGATGCCGGCAGCTTCTCCTGCCACGAGTGCCAACAATATTGGAGCTGAAGAAACAAAGCATAATTCTAGAGTCCTACAGACTTTTTCCAAGTACTTCCTTATCAGATCCCTCCCACGTCATTCTTGGCTGTTTGAAATCTGATGGCCAACAGACTAGATATGCACCACTCATGCTAGATATGTTTCTGAACTAGCAACTTGAATCCTGTCCCCTAAAGGGAGCTGGCAAACCATAGTAAGTGAAATGTGACTCACATACTTCACTGCATATAACCTGGCAGAATACAGAAGTCCTGAAGATACCACTTCAGACCTTGCTAACAAGTGTCCCTTTATTTAGGCACAGAATTCTTCAAGACATCTCCATGACCAGGGCTGCAGCCTCTTAGCTGTCATCCGAGGCCCTTCCATACTCACCATTACCTTTCCTCACCCATTTCATGGCCCTGTGTACAACAGGCTACATGATAGGCACAGTGTTAGATGCTGCGGATATAAAAACGATAGACTATATACCCCAAAGAGCAACAAAAAAAAACCAGATACATAATTACGAACTATGATAAAAGCTAGGAAAACACAGAGAAAAGAACACAGGACATAATTTACATTTGAGGCAGTGGGGACAGGCGTATCCTGGAAAGTCTTTGGAAAAGGTCATTTAGGTCAAGACTGAAGGCTGGGTAGAGTGTGCTAGGTTGGCAAGAAAGAAAAGGGGAGAAAGAAAAGCACCCCGGGTCCAGGCCCCAGCACAACACAGAAGTAGTAGACAGGATGGTGCATTTCAGGGTTCCAGGGGAGCAGACAAGTGTGTCTGGAGGCTGGGGAAGGGATGGACAATGAGGAAGCTGATAGAAAAGAAGGGTTAGATTAATTACCCTTCATGCTGGCCATGAAAATGAAAACCATCAAAAGAAGCAGGGATAGCAGTCAGTGGTTACTGGTGATTGGACAGGAATGCACAGCTAAGAGTGGCCTGGACTGGGAGGTGGGCAGTGGGAAAGAGGGAGCATTCAGCGGTCGTTGGAAGCACCGTGCCCAGGGAGCAAGTGAAGGATGAAGGATGGTCACGTGAAGGATGCTTCGGTATCAGGCAGTAAGCAGTGATGGCAAGAACCAGGGTGGCAGTCAAACCGGTCAATCGATGTGTCTGCACTGTCGAGGCCAGGCCTCCTGAACTGCCGCCCAGAATGTCTTGCACCTTTTTCTTAGAATGAGGTAGTATCTAAACATACTTTTCTTTTTTTAAAAAAAGTTCTATATAAAGCTAAGAGCAACCCAATTACATAAGAATATAAAACAGGAAGTTATCAAAGATTCAGGGGCAGGTCAGATACAAGAGTCTGAGAATGAGGAATTCAAGCTGTCCTTTCCCGGAAGCTTTCCTGGGCCTGGCCCCGGCTGAGGGGACTCCTCCTCCATGTTTTCTTCCACAGCGCCCTGGGCTTGCACCCTGGCACTCCTCCACTCGCTGCCCCACTCTGAGGCTGCCTCCCTCCTTCCTACATGTATTTCCCACTAAGTTGTGCACTCCTTGAAGGCAAGCATAGTGTTACTAATTCTCTATTCCTATAAGGATGTGAAAAAGATGAAAACGAGAAAGCAGTTACCCTTATAGAGGTTCCAGAAGAGGAAGAGTTCGCCCCTGCTCGCAGTCGTGCTGCCAACATGGCCGAACAGATTGACACTTGGGTCCCAGAACACACGGTCAAAACACAGCACCACCTGTCGGCAGAGAGAAGCACGTGAGCCGGTGACCGAGCTCGGAGAACGCGGCTTTGAGCACAGCTGTGTCTCAACGGGGAAGCACTTCTTCCTCAGAAAGCTTCTTCTGATCTACTCTCAATGTAAGTTTAGATATCCCTATTATAAAAGTACTACTCAGGAGGATCTTTAGCACTCTCTCTAGGCCTGGGCTTGAGAAGTGACCTCAGAAGACAGTCCTTGTGGATACTTTCATATATAATTAGGACCTAAAGGGAATGAACAGACAGCCCTCTCCCTGAGTGAAGGGCAGTCAGACTGGTAGCTGTGCCCTGGAATGCGGAGGTGCCCAGTTACCTTGTTAAGGTTGCCAAACCCCATCCTCTGGACTGCAGATGTTTTCCACTCGGGAAGAGGCGGCACGAACTGCACGGCGGGTGGCTGCTGCTTCAGCACGCCCAAGGGCAGGGTGCAGAGAACCGCGTCACACTTATAAATAAAGGTCTGGCTTGTGGAGCGGGTGTTGACAGCTATCACTTCACATCCTAGAGAGGTTGGAGGGAAAACGCTTTACCAGTGATAAGGATGATACTGACGAGGGCACTGAACACTTAGTGCACAGCGGACTCCACATGCCGTCTCAGGTGATTCTTACTACCTGTCTATGAAATCAGTTCTACTCAATTTTTACAAAAGAAAACAGGCAGAAGTAAACTTGTCTGAAGTAAACTTGTCTGAAGTAACTTGTCTGAAGCTATATAGCTAACAAGTGCCAGGATTCAAACCCAACAGTCAACTTCAGAATCCTCAACCTTCACCACCATGCCACCCCACACCTTCCTGACTGGTACCCCAATGCTCTTCTGTACTAACAAGACCTTATCATTTACCAAAGTTTTGTAAATTTAGACCAAAATTAAGAGTAAAATGCCTATTCCAATAGAAGCAATAGCTCTCCACTGCGGTTAAGGAGCTCATGAGGACCAAGAGGCGAATGGTGCCAGAAGACTGTTGTGCAGGTCTAGGGGATGCGGCCTGCAACCACAGAGCGCGCTATCCTTGAGACGCACCAGGATGGGATGCTTAGCTTGCCAGGATATGAGTGAGCTCAAAGCTGACCACAGAAGAGGTACTGTAAGTCAGTTAATGTAATTTTCTCTCAGTTGTGTTCAATGTTTTCCTCAATAAATGCCTCTTCACATAATTTACAAAAAACATACAAACAGCTCAAAATAAGAATAAAGCACTCCATACACGCCCATTTTCTGTAGCTGCAGAATTAAGGGAAATGACACAAAAAGCTAGTTTCACTGTTCTCCACCTGCCTGCAAATGGCTATTTAAAGGCCGCAGATCTTCTTAACACTGTCAGCTAGAAGCTGTCTCTGAAGGGAAAATTAAATGGAAAATTGTTTCATTTGTTGTAAAAAAAAAAAAAAATCTGTGGTGATCTTAGCAACTCCAGAAAAGGGGCCATGGAGGGCAAGACTGGTGGCCACATCTCCGTTTGTCATGAGAGTCCGTACGGAGGGGTCAACAAGCTTTTGTAAGGTGTTCAAGTAGATTCCAAAGGTGGTTGGAATGACAGGTTCTCTGCACTCCACATGAAGTGTATCCTCAAAGCAGCAAAAATGAGCATAGAGACCACTACCATAGGAATCAAAGGGCAGTTCAGTCTCTGAGGTCAACCTATCAGCAGAACTGCTCCCAAAACGAGATACCAGTCTAAGCAGTTAGCCCACCTGAACAGGAAAAGCCAAAGACGAAGATGCAGGTGGTAAAATACAAGGGGTGGCTCTCAATGGAACCTAGGGGCCCAATTCCTGGTATTTAAGAATTTACTTAGCAAAATTAGATCCAATCTCACTGGATCTAAATACCAAACTAATTCAGTCAATCTTAAAGGAAATCAACCCTAAATATTCATCAGAAGGACTGATGCTAAAGCTTCTGAAAGCTTCAATACTTTGGCCAACTGATGCAAAGAGCTGACTCACTAGGAAAGACCCTGATGATGGGAAGACTGAGGGCAAAAGGAGAAGAGGGCGGCAGAGGATGAGGTGGTTAGGTAGCATCGCTGACTCAATGGCCATGGCCTTAAGCAGACTCCAGGAGACAGTGGGCGACAGGGAAGCCTGGAACCCTACAGTCCATGGGGTCGCAGACAGACATGACTTAGCAACTCAACAGTAACGAACAAATTCGTGCTAACTGCTAATCCATTCAAACTGGAGACTCTGAAAATTGCCCCAATTGTCTGGCTTGTACTATGATGGGGTCAGAACCTCTAAAGGCTCTATTGGCTCAATACTTTTGTAAATGAAAAAAATTTAATTCAGGAATCACTGTTTGTAAGACACTCTATCAGGAAATGTAACTAATATTTTTTCAGTAGGTCAAACTCAACAGAAGATCAGTACTCTATTTCAGAGTAAGAGGTTTATCTTCCTAGAAAAGACATACCTGAAGCTGTGTAGCGAACCTGCCGAACCGCAGTGTTCAGTTTAATGTCCAGGCCTTCTGCTAAAGCCACAGGCACACACGAGTAGCCGTTCCTCACTGTCAGGTGGCTGCCAGTAAACTCAAAGTCGTCATCCTAAAGAGGACAGAAAAGGGCACGCTTTCACACATTCTTAGTCTAACTGATGTCATTTATACTGAGTCCTAAAAAATAACGTTGAAAAAACACAAGCCTGTGAAAAGTCAATATTCTAAGACATAAATTAAAGGGCAATCCCTCAGTCTTCAGCTACAGCTGCTCCAGGAAACTGAAGGGAAAAGAGAAAAAAAGCCAAAATGTCGCTTATGGCTAACTCTGGGCAGTGAAATTAGGGCAGTTTCTTTTTTCCTGAGACAGACTTTCTAACATCAAAGCCCTACACCACCAAGCTCAGACTGCCCCTAGAGGGCAGGAGAGGGAAGAAAACTGATTCAGTAAATTTAGATGGTTAGCTACCACAGCAGTTTTTGGCTTTTGCCTGCACTACAGATTTGGCTGGACATCACGATCACCATCCTAATTACATTTTCTGCTACATAACAGCAAAATCAGTTTTCATGCCCTAAACCTACAAGTTTTAAAGTTGAGGAAAACTTCCAAAACTAAAGTTGGTCAAACTAGACGAAGGCAATATAAGATTATAAAGACTCGCCCAAGATAATCCAAAGAGAGAAGTCAAGATTTGGCCTGGAAGAATTCCCAAAATGATTTCATGTCTCTGAATTTACTGAAAAATCTTCCAAATGAAAAACTTTTGAAGGCTATTCATTAAACTTCTGGGAAAAACATACCACAATTCTTAGGAATTAGATAAAAATATATTGGGTTGGCAGAACATTCACTACTTAAGTGACTGACTCATCTGTTCTCCATATGGATCATCACCTACATTCAAACTTGAATATATATTGAAACATCAGTGACTAGGATAGGAGTAATTCAGTATTTACATGAAAAACCATAAGGAAACTGGAAATTCTGCAAGATATGGACCACTAACAAGTCCAATCCTTACCATAACTCAAATTCTAAAGAATAGGAGGACAGGATCTAAAGATGAGGAAGTCAAAATAATTTTACTAGGAAAATGAATAGTAAAAATGAAAATATGTAAGTAAAATATAATATTTACTCCTGTACAATCTTAAGTCTGGCCCAAGTCTCAGATTTAGAGATTGGTTCATTAGCATCTAAGAAATGCTGTGGTTTGTCACAAGTTCAAAAGTAAATCACACTGAAAATGCCTAAAAATAACTTAACAAAAGATGTGTGAGACTGGGACACTGAAGACTGCAAAATACTGCTGAGATAAATTAAAGAAAGCCTAAATAAACGGAGAGGTATACCCTGTTCAAGGATTTGAAGACTCACTATTGTTAAGATGATAATCATAGAAGGTAATTTTTGAAGAAACTGATAAGCTTGTTCTAAAATTTTATAGACATGTCAACTTAAAAAAAAAGGCACAATTAAGAGTTACAAGTTCTATCTGAGGCAATATGAGGATTATAGTCAGGGAGGCAGCATTTCAGAGGCTCTGGGAAACTGCTCCAGAGAAGCAGGAGGAAGCCGGTGCCTACTGATTTTGGTAACTGGGGAGCGCATGCAATCAAAGCACATATTTTTTGCAGAAGGTTACTGCTGGTCTCGTTACTGCGAGTCCCAAGAAGCGGACACCACCATGAAGGATTTTAGTGCTCTTCTAGATACGAGAAGATACAAGTGTGTGTGTGTGTGTGTGTGTGTGTGCGTGCAAGAAGATACAAGTGTGTGTGTGTGCAAGAAGATACAAGTGTGTGTGTGCACGAGAAGATACAAGTGTGTGTGTGTGTACGAGAAGATACGTGTGTGTGTGTGTCTGTGTGCACGAGAAGATACAAGTGTGTGTGTGTGTGTACGAGAAGATACAAGTGTGTGTGTGTGCGTGCAAGATACAAGTGTGTGTGTGTGTGCAAGAAGATACAAGTGCGTGTGTGTGTGTGTATGAGAAGATACGTGTGTGTGTGTCTGTGTGCACGGAAGATACAAGTGTGTGTGTGTGTGTACGAGAAGATACGTGTGTGTGTACGAGAAGATACAAGTGTGTGTGTGTGTGTGTACATGTGAGTGTGTATGTGCTCAGTTGTGTCTGACTCTCTAGGACCCCACAGACTGTATCCTGGAGTGGGTTACAACTTCCTCCTCCAGGGGACCTTCCTGACCCAGGGACTGAACCTGCGTCTACTATGTCACCTGCATTGGCAGGCGGACTCTAGCTGTGAGCCATCTGGGAATCCCCGAGATACAAGAGGTAGGCTAATAAAATCAGCTCCGGAAAATATCTAACTATCTGAAGACCTGTTCTGCCAGCTCTTCCCAGGGCACAGAGTGCCTCATTTCTGCTCTCTGCCCTAAACTCCTTTCAGAGGGTGTTGAAAATTAGCTGCAGCAGCACATAATGTAATCCCTGTAGAGGCAGATGGCAAGTGCCAATTTGTAGTTGAGAGATCTGAACTAATCAAAACACTTTCAAAAAAGAACAAAGGTGAAGAATTTATACTACCTGATTTCAAAATGTCCTATAAAGCAACCGTAATCAGGACAGTGACAGTGGTATATCGAGAGACAGATGTTGAATGGAAGAACTGCTTTTCAACTAATGTGACAAGAACAAATGAAGAAAAAAGATGGTGCTAGGTTAATAAGATAACCATATAGAAAACTATGAACTACCCTCACCTCTCACTATATACAAAAATTAACTGAAAATGAGTCACAGACCTAAGATAAGAGCTAAATTCATAAAACTTTAGGAATAGAAAATCTTTGCAGTCCCGGATTAGACAAAGATTTTTCAGGATACAAAAAGCACAAAGCCTAAAAGAAAGAGTTGACAAATAGGACTTTATAAAATTAAAAATATTTCTCTTTGAAAGGTATCACTTAGAAAAGGAAAATGCAAGCTGCAGACTAGAAGAAAGAATTTTCACACCATAAACCTGACAAAAGAATTATATCCAGGATTTGAAGAACATAATGAACTCTTACAAAAGAACAAGCAACTAGATTCTTAAAAAGTAGGCAAAAGATCCAACAGCCTTTTCACCAAGTAACTGACATATGAATGGCCAATAAGCACATGAAAAGATGCTTCACTTTATTGGTCATCACAGAAATGCAAATTAAAACCACAGTGAAAAATTACCAACCATTGAAACAGTTAAAAAATGTAAAGCTGGCAGAGTATCAGGTGCTGGTGAGGGTGTGGAACAGCAGAACTCGCGTACACTACTGATGAGAACGTAGTTTGGAAAACACTTTAAAAATCTACTTCCCACAGTAAAAATTTTACTTCTAGATATTTACCCAAGAGAAAGACATGAATATTCATAGTAGCTTCAATTATTTATAGCCAAAAATGAAACAATCTAAATGTCCTTCAACGTACCAGTGAATGGATACATTCTGTGGCATATCCATACAATGGATATGAATATTACTAAACAACAAAAAGAACAAACTACTGATACATACAACAACAATGAATCTCAAAATGAAAAGTCACACACAAAAGGCTATGGATGGTACAATTATGTACTGTATGGTTCAATTTACATGTAATTCTAGGAAAATCAAAACTATAATGACAGAAAGCAAATCAGTGGTTGTGCAGGGCCAGGAGCTGAAGGGCGGGGGACTGACTGCAAAGGGGCAAAGAGAAGACTTCTCAGGATGACAGCGACATTCTACATCTTAAATGCGGTGCTGGTTCATAATTATTTAAGTCTGGCAAAATATCAAACTGCTCACTTAAAATAGGTTTTATTGTATATACATTATAACTAACTAAAGCTATTTAAAACTACAGATACAGACAAATTAACAGTTTCTCTTAGGACCGTCTCAGAGACATGTGCAACAAAATACATGACAAAAGAATTTTTACCTGATCCCAGTGCTTAAGGGAGAGTGTAGAGAGAGGTGTGGCATTAGCGAATTCAAGATTTGCAAAATGCCAATCAAGTATCTGTCTGTCTCTTGATGAGAGATATACATCACTGCAAAATGAGAACGAAGGAGCTCAAGGTTACTAAAGGGCATTACTACCATTCTCAATGGGCTGATGTTGATGATTTCAGTGGGACTATGCCTTTTATGAAGAAATTCTAAGTCAAAAAACAAGATCTCGTCTGTCTTATTAAACCCTTCGTTTCTAGTGCCCAGGAGCAATGCCAAGCTTCCTACATAAAGCAAAGACCTAACTGTAATTCAGATAAAAATATTAGTTTGGAAAAAAAAGTCTTCTTTATACTATTTACCTTGCATTATAAAAGCTGGCTTGTATCAATTTTTTTGTTGTTTTATATTCTGAATAAAGCAATTTTTTTTAAAGCAAGACGGGTGGCATCCCTGACTAGAGAAACAGCAGATGCATGTGGACGACAGATGCCCCGTGGAGCACTTGTTACCATGTAAGGGCACACTGTCAAAAATCCAACAGAAACTGAGGGTAACACTTTTCTGATCCCCAGAATTTTGAAATTTAAAGCAATACCACCTTCTACCTCACTCAAAGACAATTTTCATTCATATATCAAATCTTATGGGAAAAAGCTATCGTTTTAAAAAGATACCTTGATTTAAGTATCTAGGACACTCTTACATATTAACATATAAGAACAGAGTACTAAGGAACCTGACAAGTAGTCCTATGTGCACAGACACTTTCCATTCATGAAATAATCTACAATGCATTCACTGAACATGCACAAAAGGCCAGGGTCTTTGTAATCTTCCTTCTAAATTTAACAGAAGAGTAAAAGTTATCTTTTGGAGCATTTACCTTGGGGGATTGGCTTCCAACTCTTGAAGTTTTTCTTCTAGTTTTCCTTGTGTTTCAGCTAATTCATCATATTCCTGATGGAATTAAGAGAACCGGGTTGGTCGGGATGAGTCAGAGATGCACCTAGTTATTGACACCACAGAGGGTCAGGCCTGCACCACATCCCTGTTCAGGTCAATTACAAGGGTGCCTTCCATGAAGGCTGGGTCAGGGTGCAGGGATAGTTGTTCCTGAAGACAAGTTACAATGTAACAGGGGAGTGTGGTGGGGGAAGAGGATGATGAAGAAATACACTAGTATGTTACACAGTAAGGATAGAAAAGAAGAGTGACTTTCACTTCTCATGCATTTACTGTGTCCCTAGTATGAATAAGCACTTCAGATCCCTCTACAAGTGAGGTAGTACTTAACACCATGTCACAGATGAGGTGACTAAGAGGTCACATGGCTAGGAGATTCTAAGTTAAGAAACTTCAACCAGACAGTCTGACTCCAATAACTCTGAAGTCCACCTTCATTAACATTACTTTAAACTGTCAGGGATAAACTATCACAGAGGGCTAAACTGAGATGTAGGTAAGCTAAAGGATGATACTGTGAAAACAAGGTAGGAATTCTGCAGAAAAAGCAGACAAAACTAATCCATTAAGTCCCCAGAGCTCCTGTGTACCAAACCCCCTTCTTACTACCCTAGGCACCTATGACTAAACTTCCCAGATCTATACTTATCACTTAGGATTCCAAATAAAATCAGCGAGGCATGTATGTATATCATACCTTGCACAGGGCAGTTAGATCCCTGTGTTTGCTTTTCACTAAGAACTCAGCAGTGATATCTCTGGGTGGTTTGACTTCAGATGCTTCTTTGTACTGCTGATGGAGTTCTTTTATTTTCTCTTTTAAATTCACCATCTAAGAGAGAAAAATACAAATTTACCATTGCAGACAGTGACATAATTCATCACCAAAGCATGTGCTTTGGCTCCTCCCCTAAACTGCTATCATACCAAAACAGGGTTACACTGCAGCATCTGTGGAATTACGTACCTCTTCCAAATGATGATATTTAAAACAGGAAAAAATCCTATATGGCTCAACACAGAGGTGTCACATCACTATCAGATAAGCAGGATTGACTCTGTCTTCCAAAACAAATGGGAGAACTAGGAGTGTCCCATTAATAAAGATAATGTCCCCAAAATAAAAATTAATTAAAAATTTAACTACCAGGCAAAAAAAAACCTGTCACCAATAAAACATAGTTTTAAGAAACAAAGTATCATGATTTGTTTTTTAAATGCGTAAAAGGTCAAATCATCACATGAAGAACGTTAAGGAACCATTCCCAGGGTCATTTTTCCAGGTTTCTGAGGCAAAGGTTGAAGCCTGAAACTAGGAGCGCCACAGCTCTGGCTATCCGTTCTCTGCCGCTCTTCTCGCTTCCTCCACACCACAGTTCATGAAGGCGCTATGCCAGAGGCCTCTTCATTTGACAAGATGAAGGCATGAAGCATAGTTTAAGAGTGAAGCCGAAAGCCCACTCAAAAGATGCACCCAGATTTTGCAATTATAAAGCCTCCAATTTGGCAGGATGGGGAGAAACAAACGGTTTCCCAGTCTGGAGCTGAGGCTTTAGAAGGTGAACACACAAGGGCCCCCTTGTTCATACCACTGAGGAATAGCCTCATATTGGTACCTCAAGTGAAATCCTTAGGCCAGCAAATTATGATCCTGGCTACTGACATGTGGTCTTCCTCGTGGGAACTTGGCCCCAGCACAGCTGACCTCCCTTTCACCCTGGGCTCCAGCAGAGGGCACTAGGCCAGGCTGGCAGCAGCGAAGGCAGCCTGTCACAGGACAACATCTGCTCCCCCAGCGGCAGTCACCATGCCGCGCTGCAAGACTGACAGATAAAACACAGAATTTTACCTTATTAAGAAGTTCCTTCAGTTCCTCCTGAGTTTTCACTATCTTCTTCCAGTGTTCAATCTGCTCATCTTTGACATGCTTTTCTTGTAACCTGAAGAGACAATGTATGTGCTGTGGTCACACAGCTAGCCGTGCTGTGTAAGACAGGTGCCCGTCCAAAACATCTGATGGTATCAAGGCCCACTAAAATTTCTAACGCTTTGGAATAAGAAAGTTGGCTGGTGGCAAATTATTTTCTAGGTTATGTTAAATACAGTCAATTCAATACCATAAAAGACATGAATTTTACAACTGAGAGAGCCTTAAGGATCATGTATGGACTTATTTTAAAAAGATTTATTTTTAGATTTAACTATGACATGAAAATAAGTGAAAACTAGCTCAATTAAGACTTGATGGAAACTTAAAACATTGCCCAGCAATCTATAAACAAAATCCACAATACAATAAGCAGTATCAAAGTACTTACTGAATGACAACTTCCAATGCCTGGCCAAGGGACACAGGCTTATTATTGAGGACGTTGAAGTCCAGCTGATGACTAAGGTAAGACGTAGCTTCTAGCAACCGGTTAAACTCTTGCTCTACCATTTCATCTTTCTCCTTAGGAACCTGAAAATTCGAAGTAGGGCAGAGTTGGTCCTTACAAGACTAAACATAATCATCCATGAAAACACAAATGCTCTACAGTTTAAAAGGTCAAAGTATGTATCTCAAAGGAGAAACCTTTGAGGACAATGATTCAAACTATCTTTTCTATGAAGTGGTCAATTCCATTAATGAGATATGAAATGTTTCAGCCTGGATACTCCCTATTCTCATGATTCTGCCCTCAGAGCTGGAACTCCACATCTATGAACAGTCCCAGGAATCACACTGGTGGTGAGTGAAGTCATGTGGAGCATAAGGTGCCCTGGAGCTGACATGCACTGAGATAAGCTGGGCTGACATGCAGACAACACACTGGCAAAGTCCTGGAGAACAAAGGCTGTCAACACACCCAAGCACCTTGTAAATAAGGGCAAGATGAAAAAAATAAGAACAAGGTATGTGCTTCCCCTCTAAGATAACAATTTCAAGTAGGAGTAGTGAAGAGAGAAGTGAAATTCAAGGCTATTAATAAGAACACAACAGCATCTTAATTCTCAGAGTACTAGTGTTTTACGGCACCAATTAAGTTCAAGGTTGAATATCCAAAGCTCTTACTATGAGTGACTGAGGTACCAAGTCTGGCTCACTACTGTTGGGGGAAGAGAACAGATTGTAAAGCAGATCATTAAGCTGCAAGACCATGCTCCTAAATCCCTGCTGTGCCCCTGCCTAGTGATGCCATCAGTTAGCTGACACAAATTCCTCTGCTAATGCTCAATTCAGCCCCAAAGTAAACTGTATCTGCAGTTCCACTGCTGAATTCATGGGGACAGTGAGAAGAAAAAGTATGTCTAAGGAAAGCATCTCTTGCCATAATAAGTTAGGCATGGGAAATTGGTTTCAAAATTTAGAATTTCACTTTACAATCAACCTAAAATTGGTAATAAGAAACAAAATATAAAAGTTCTAATAATCACCAAGGTGAGGAAGAATAATTGTTTACAATTAGAGGTAACTATTATGAACCAGATCATCACAGTAAAACTCTTGCTTCTCATTTGAAACACCTTCACTTTTGCCCTTCACAATTAAACAGATGATTTCAAAGCACTAGCCTCTGCCCTCTCAATGATGAGCTGCACAAGTAACTCTATCAGATGAGCCATGGGATGGCAAAAAGAATATGGTGAGAAGTATAATCTGCACCAAAACAAAGGGGAAAGGACGGCACTTCTCCTTCTGAACTGCAAATATGAAAGACACTATAACTGATTCAATCAAAATAATCTTTTAAAGCATCAAGTTCTAAAAGATCACACATAGAAAACATCAGGAAATCTTTGTGAATTAGAGAATCCCCCTGAGCCTAAGAAATAGATACCTGGGAGAATCTTGGTTTATGTTGAGAAACAAGGCTTTTAATCAGGCTCTGGAGCTTGGTACCATTTATGTATGAGGGTGGTACCTGGGACTTGGTGGCTCAAACACAGCTGACCTACCCCATTCAATCCCTCAGCCAAAGAGAGGAGCTCTTGGTGACCTCCCTACTTGTTCTGTTTTCACAGCTATCAGAGCAGATGGAAGTGATCTTCTTGTCAGGAATTTCATTTACTTTTCCATCAGTTACTTTTCCTCATTGACATGATACAGTGAAGGTCATATACAGGTCATACACAGAGAAGCTCAAAGCAAAGCTGAAATTTTGCTTGGTGTTAATTCCCTCAAATGATGTTACAAAAGATGATTCTAAAAACTCTAAATCTGGTGCTCCTTTAAAAAAGGAAACAATTACATTTTCAATATGAAACCTCCATATTTATGAAACCTTAACTGATCACAGACGCAATCTGAAGGACTGCTTTTCCTGGAGTACAAATGGTGATATTTCTATACATGGCTTCTAAAATGCCTAGCAAGAGGATGCTAAGGCAGCAAGAGGGGCCAGATCACACATGCCACTACAACAGGGCAGAACATGCCAATACATGTGTGTGCAAATGGCACTGATTAAAGCTCTTCCAGGGCCAACTGTATGGCTTGCTTTAGACAAGCTTTAATCTTTGCAGCTAGAGTGACAGTCACATAGGGAAGTTCATACTGAAAAAGTATGCAGCACTTCAAGGCTCAGTTACTGGGGTCCAGGGTGTGTGGTAGAGAAATATTTAAAGGGACACTGTCAAGGTTAGAGGGACCAAATTTGACCTTTTATTCTTCCCTCTGTTTGCTGAGCGGCCCACTTGATTCATTACACTTTCCCCTTTAGTCCACCCACGCCACCACAAAAAACTTGACTTTTTACATGCGCTTTCAATGACAAAAACTCAAATGGCACCAGTCCAACATATAGGCTCAACTCTACAACAACAAACCAGTGTGAATGTATGATGGAGAGGATCTTTGGAAGCGAAAGATTTACGTTTCAAGCTTTTAATGGGTTATTGTAAACAGTGAGGAAAATGACTTGAAAAATTATGAAGAAAAAATACCTTGACAGTGTCCTTTTAACCAGTGCAGCAGAGAGAGAAATAAACTGTAAATAACAGCCCAACAGCCACATCAAGTTTAGTTTTGTAAGACAGCTGTAAAATCAAGGCTTTAAACACACAGCATGACAGAAGCATTGTTAGCTCAGAAGCTGCAACCACCAGAGAAATAAGGAACAGACTGTACAGAGACTAAAACGGGAAAGTCAAGGCATAGAAATGGGCAAAAGAAAGGCACTTTTGGCGGTGGTGGAGGGTAGGGAGGTCAAGGGAGATGGTGTCAGAAAGCAGAGAATAAAGCAAAATTCAATAAAAGAGAAAAAGAAAAACACGGAACAGCAACAAGAACACAGAATCAAACAAACAAACACCAAACCAAAAGATCACCACCAAACCTGACTGACATCAGAATGACATGACTAGATCCCTAGAGCACTCTCTAACCTAGGGTTACAGTCACAGTAAGGCCCCATCCATTATCTGCCAGTTAAGCAGTTACAGGAATGTTGGTGGTGAGACCAGGGACACCTTTGATACCTGGATTTTCTTCCCGTTAATTTAAAAATTCCACTTTGAAATTAAAGAAATTATTTGGAGAACACTAAATAAAATACTTGTCCATTAGGAAATCAATACTGACTGGGAGAAAACCAAAATGTGTTTTTGATGTATTTAAACCTTGAATCTGTTTCTAAAATTAAGCTAACTATATATGTTTCAGTTGACTCAGACAATGAAAAGAATTCTAGCAACTGACTACCTTAAGCACTCCTTAAGTTCTGTTTCAGGTCATTTCTTTGCTTTTGGTGAGAACCCTTGGACTCTGTTAGTTTCACAAATAATTATGAAAGGATGTTGAAATATTGGCACTTTAAATACAAGTCTCAATAATTTTAGTTTAATTTGACCATTCTATTCTAGATTCTTAGTTGCATTCTGAGAGAGGAACTCAGCAAATGATTACCAGGGTTATTAGCACCATGTCTGACGGCAGCTGGATTTCTGTATTACACCACAGTGAGAACACAAAACAACAAACTATGCATTCTTTTGGGAAAGAATCACTGATATGGTTTTCTAGCAAAGAATCAAACAAAAAGGCTATCACTTGAAACAGATTTTATGATTCTTCAAAACCATTTATTTCTCTACAAGTCTCCAAATAAATGGTTCCTTTAAGACAAAAAATTTGGTGAGTCTCACTCCTGTAAATGGATTATAATCCTGACTGTTTTGGTCCTGTAGATTATATGGAGCATCCCTGAACACGGTCATGAGTTGGGGAGACCATGTGACTGGCCCATGCAGAATAAATTTTGGGAAAGCCAAGCAACTTTCTGACAGGGTCCCTGATTCTGCAAGAAGTCATTGCAAAGAAAAGACAGCTCTCAGTTCTATCTCTGGTTGCATTCTATCATCACAAACTTGATAGGTCTTCAAAAACACTGCCAATCTGTCACACTTCCAGTCAGCATAAGTCCTCTAGCAGCAGAGCAAAAATGGAGTTAAGGTACACCTAAGTTCCAGGTACTCAAAAGTTCTGACATTTAGCAAGAGGAATCCTCAGGAAAAAGTAACACACTGAAAAAAGTTGTAATGACCAAATCTGGCCAACAGAGGTTACAGTCAATCTCCACCTCTCCCATCTCCATGCACTTCTGTAATTACGATAAAACGAAACATTGGTTCCTTTGGTAAATCGTGGAAGAACAAATTTACATCTGAGGGGTTTCCAAGTCAGATTCTGAAATAGCTAAGGGAAATTAAAAATAGATATTGACCCTAAAGGGGGAATAAGGCAAGGGGTCTATCCTTAATCTAAATATTGGGTAGGCCAAAAAGTTCATTCAGGTTTTTCTGTAACATCGTACAAAAACCCAAATGAACTTTTTGGCCAACTCAGTAAAATTCAGTGTGATTCTGTAAATGGAGACTGCTGCCTCCCTCCCCGTTTAACTCATAAGATACTAGGGGGTGTAAATACCTGACTTTCCTAGAGCAGGGACTCAGCCACGTGGAGATGGACACATGGCATGTCCAAGGAGTGCACTAGCAACCTCCAGCATGCGAGCGCTTGGTAAGCTCTTGTTAAATGAACAAAGTACTATAGTTTGGAAGAGTAAAGTCAGTATTGTAACTATATTTGAAGGAAAAATAACTATTTTGCAACTTCAGAAACAATAAAGGAGGGCATGAGATTTTTACATAAAAAGCAGAGACTGGCAGTCATGATTTTCAAGGGTAGAGAAAGACTGCCTTAAAGATACCAAAGATGTTTCCAAAAAGGATGATGAAAACTGAAAAGGCCAAGACACCTGTGTCAAAAGTATAGTAACCTAGACACCACTCTATATGAACACAACTGGAAACCTGGTAAGTTACAACGGTCAATGAGTATACCCAGTCAGTGGTATTTATAAGAAGCCTGGTATGCATTACCTTTCAAGAGTTATCTTTCTTCCTCTGAGTCATTCCCAGGTAGAAAATCAGGATCTGTTTCTCCAAGTAGTTACCGAGCCTTTGGATCTCACTTGATAAAAACCACACACACACACACACACACACACACACACACCCCTGTCACATTAGCTCACTTAAGATACCTATTCATGACTCAAAAAAAGCTGAAAACAAAACTAGACTCTAAAGCCCCCTAGTTACTAGCTGGTATATAGGAGATGCAGAAAACACTCGGCCATTTCTCCAGTCTCCGCCACAATCCAGGTTTTCAGACCTCCCACTGGTGACTCCCAAAATGCTACTGAAAACATGAATTACCCTATTTTCCAACCTTATCCATTCAAAACTAATTACAGCATAATTCAGAGTATGACTCCATCATCAATTAATGATGACAATGAGCAGGGAAGCTGCTTCATTAGCTTGGACTTTTTTTATAGACTTGGAAGATACTTCTATTAGTTCAACATCCTAGCTGCCAGTGCAGGACCAGAGAGAAAGGAGAGGCAAGCTCTTCCAGGGATTCTTGTGACTGATTAAAACAATAACAGGGTAATATAACAAAACTACTTACTACATGATTTTTTTCCTATAACAGCAGAATGCCCGGACATGGTAATATGTCCCTAAGACAACACTGTTGCTGTGCAGCCACTGAGTCATGTCCGAGTCTCGGCAATCCCATGGACTACAGCCTGCCGGGTCCTTCTGTCCATGGGACTTTTCAGCCAAGAATACTGGAGTGGGTTCCCATTTCCTTCTCCAGGGGATCTTCACAACTCAGAGACTGAACTTACATCTCCTGCATTGTCAGGTGGGTTCTTTACCACTGAGTCACCAGGGAAGCCCTTAAGACAATATTACAAGTGGTATTTATAACTGAGTTTGCTGCTGCCCTTGTACAGGATGAAATAATTAATTTTTGTGTACTAACAAAAGAACCATCTAATTTTACCCTCTTTTCCACTGATGCTATCCAGAGAGAATGGGGCAACACAGAGCATTTTGTATAATCATTTACTAAAGAAAAAGCAATGGCTGAGTGAGTATCATCACTCTAGGTGGGCCTCCATAGAGTAACTATTAAAAAAAAGTTTTTTTAATAAAAGAAGGAGACTCAGCTGATGCAGTCAGACTGACAGAACTGCACACCTCTCCTGCCCCAACCTTCCCTGGACTCTAGCCAGGCAGAACGGCACTGAACACCAGGGGAAGTGGGATGGACTGGGAGACTGAACTGACATATAAACACGACTATGTATAAGGCAGGTAACTAGTTAGAACCCACTGTATAGCAAAGGGAACTTACTCGGTGCTCTGTGGTGACCTACTTGGGAAGGAAATCCAAGAGGAGAGAGATGTCCATGCGGCTGAGTCACCGCCGTACAGTGACTAACACACGCTGGAAAGCGACTACACTCCAATAAAACCTTTTTTTTAAGTTTAAAAAAATAAAAGCTAAAACACCACACAAGAGACCTGACTCTACTATTGACTATGGTGATGTCAGGCAAACACACGTGTGTGCTTTAGATTCTTCCCCTGCAAAATGAGGAAACAAGCAACTAAGTGAGATTCCCTAGACTTCTAAAGCCATTAAACGTATCTGACTATGAGTATAAATTAATCTGGCTATAAGCCAAAAGCCAGTCTGCTAGTCAATAGGTATCCATTCCTCCTCTGAGCTAGATTACAGGAACAGCAAGATACAGAAACATTAATAGGGCAAGCAGAACTCAAAGCTACAAAGAAATTCTTCCCAAATTTAACAATGCCTAAAGAATCCTCCTTACTATTTAGCTGCATCACCAAATACAAACCAACCAAGAAAAATCCTATAAAGATCAGAGCTGAATGACAACAAAATGCTGAAAACCACACATTAGCTTAACAACTGTTTACTAGAATGCTATTCAAAGAGCTGGTCCTGGTGAGAAAAGGAGCTTATACCAGAACATAAACTAAAGCAACATTTCTTCCACTGAGAAAAGTCCTGCTACCAAAGCCATCTGAACTAACACTGTGGTTGGTTAAAAGGATGCAGGTTTATTTACACTCTGGCACAAGATATTTCTCTCATCCCATACTAGTAACCAACAGTTCATGAACTGGCAGCTGGTTGTAGGCCATATCTGAGTGAATGTTGCTATACTATGGGCTTCCCTGGTGGCTCAGATGGTAAAGAAACTGCCTGTAATGCAGGAGACCCGGGTTTTATCCCTGGGTTGGGACGATTCCCCTGGAGAAGGGCATCTATTTGGAAACAAGTGTTTTTCAAAATGTTTTACAGCTTACCTAATACCACAAAAGCAGACCATTCCTCTGGATATCTCTACTAGGGGAAAAAAACCTCACATTTTACTGTCAGAAAGACTAAATGAGACTGTTCTACATTCAGGAAAGTCAAAAGAAAAAGATAGTGTCTCAAAGATCAGTGATAATCTTTGGCTTGGATTCCATTACTTCTTGAGGATGTAATATCAACTTCAAAAACCTTGCTTCCACAATTCAATTCTCTAAATTTATTGTCTATCTACCTAAAACATCTATCTGGTCATGTTACTTCCCCCGCTCTCAACAAGACTGGATAGATGAAACTAGACTGGAAAAATGGGAGCCTATTATAGTACTCTTTCTACATTTGTATATGTTTGAAAATTTGTGTACAAGTCCCACCAGACTGTAGGGTCTTATATGGCAGGGACTGTCTTATTCATTTCTGCATTTTTTTTTTTTAAACAGATCTTTGCAAGTAATAGCGGTTTATAGAATTGCTGAATTAACTTCATCTTTTTCTATTTTATTCTGTTGGAAGGCTGCCTGCCCTTTTCCCTCACCCCCAGAAAAGCCCTAGAAGTAAATTTGGATCCAGAATGGTGGGGATGGGAACCAAAGCATTCCCTGAAAGTCTGTACTTCTCTGATATGAACCCTATAAAAAAGTCTTTCCCTAAAGGTAGACAGTAAAAGGCAAGGATGTCCCATAGGACCTATGACAAAAAATTTTGGAGTTGGAATGTTACCACTTTTAATAACAGTAGCTACACTGCCATATACATAGCAAACCTTCTCTTCCTTGATACATATATAAAGGTGATAATGAGTTTATATCCTGAGAACTAGAGACTCTCTTACTCCTAACTGGGGAGTTGGCAAAACTTCCACTGAAAACAAACTTCTGAGTTTCTCAGACCCCTAAAAATTAGAACCGACATATAACCTATCAGGCAGTTGTTAAAACCCTCCCACTCTCCCATACTAAACATCACTGTCGTGTTACTGCCATCTTAACTACAGGAAGCTCCCATCTGGGCTTCCCTGGTGCTCAGTGTAGTCGATCCCTGAGTTGGGAAGATCTCTTGGAGAAGAAAATGGCAACCCAATCCAGTATTCCTGCCTGGGAAATCCCATGGACTGGTGAGCTACAGTCTACTGGGTTGCAAGAAGTGACTAAACAACAACAACAACAAATGCCTCTGATAAACAAATACTTTCACCTACCTAAGCATCAATTTAGTACTACCATTCACTATGAGCTCATCAAAAACCTGACCGTCTGAACATAACACTGAAACCATGAGGAGCACACGAAGTTAAAGCACACGATGGGAGGCACAATACAAAGAAATGAAGAGTCAGGTGGTCAAGTCCACAGGTCTCTTAGGGTATAGGTGGCCACAGCCAAATAAAAAGATTAATCACTTGGCTAGCCTAAATTTCATTAAGCATTTAAACACCTAAGCAGCTATGATAACTCCTTCCTATATAGCTCAAAGTTAAGAATCTGAATAAAGCCACATTATTTCTACCCTCAGTTCAAATTTGTGTGTGTATATTCATCCACATATTTCCCCAAAAATGCTTTCAACTGAACCAAAGAAACTGTATAAAGTTGTTTGCTGTCAACTTACAGCTTGTCCATTCGCTTCATAAAGTGGGCATTTTTGCTTGATCTTGGCCAGTTCCATATTTACTTGTTTGCTGACCACAGCCATGGGATTCCCTCCTAGAAAAAACTCCAACAATTAAATTCACATACCTTATGAAAAGGGAACAAAATTTCAAAGTATTTTTACTCAAATTTTAAAATATTAAAGCTTAGGGTATGTGAATTAATACCAAAAAAATGCCCAAAAGTAAAACAAATATATAAGTAAGCACGAAGAACAAAGCAAAACACTGTGCGTGTGTGCTCACTCAACCTATTACCGAAAATCAGGTAACATTACAGATCCTTCTAGACTTTACATGCATAAAATTAGATGTTACATACAAAAGGATCATAACACACGCAGTTTTATAATCATTTTTCAACTTAGCAATAAATTGTGGGCATAATTTCATGTCAATATGAAGCTACAAATTTTTAGCAGCTGGACAGTTTTCACTGCCTAACAATTTAATCTTCTAATCTGTGGTTTCTAACATTCTGTTACCCCACACTGAAAATGTTTTGAACACAATATGGTTCACTTGTCTATTTTCTTTAATTTCATAGAACTGGATCTGTGAGGGCAAAATCTACACACATTTTAAATCATGCACATACTGACGTATCTTTTCAGAAAACTGTTTGCCAATTTACCTTTCACTAACACTGAGAACAGGCTTCCCAGCTGATGTAGTGGTAAATAACCTACCTGACAATGCAGAGACACAAGAGACACAAGTCTGATCTCTGGGTAGGGAAGATCCCCTGGAGAAGGAAATGGCAACCCACACCACTATTCTTGCCTGGAAAATTCCACAGACTGAAGAACCTTCCAGGTCGTCACAAACAGTTGGACATGACTCGGCAACTGAGCACATACACACAAGACTAAGAACAGAATCCTAACCAATATATTTAAAAGCTGAATATGACTTTATAAGATTAAACCATTTTGGGAGTCTCAGACCCTGAAATCATAACACAAAACTAAGAACTACTTACCAAGACCTGTTACTACCATGGCTCCAAGGTCAGCTACATAGTTTCCTTTGCGAAATGTAGCAACTCGTCCACCCACACGATCCTGTTTTTTAAAAATTAAATGGCTAAAATTAATTCCAGTTTAATCATAATAACCTGGCAAAGTCCCATCTCAGACCTCTTTGATAACTTAAAAAGGAAAAGGTGTAGAGTTTACATGGAGTATGATGTTAGCTCAAAAAGCAAATGAAGTTTAACTATTTGAGGGAATGGTAGAAAATGAATGATACACAAAAGGAACAGAATTAAGTGCTATGAGGTAGGAAAAAATGTAATAGTCAGAAGACATCAGTTATAGGTACTATTAGCTCTCAACCCCAGTATCTCTAATGCCACTTACTGTAGAGGCTGAGCAAGGGCCACCCACAGAAACTTCCTGCAAACAAATGTCAGCACTTCAGGTCACTTTCCCGCCACCATGTTCTGACTCTTGGCCCCCAGCGTCAGAGTCAGCTGTGACTGGCCTGACAGACAGCTTCTCTGAGAAACTCTTCAGTGCAGCCTCATGCCCAAGGGCAGTGTCTACTGAACGTGAGCCGCTGACAATACCTCTCATTTCTAAACAGGCCCAAGTGTTATCTTAGGTGACTGGAGATTTCCAAGTACAGGGAAATCTTACTGAGTTGCAGTGAAACCTCAGTCATGAGTTCCATGAGTACTCTGTAAACTCCAGACCAACAAATGAAAAAAAGCAAAACAAAACAAAAATCTATACACATGGGTAGGAATCATAATGATCCTCCATTATTCTTTACTGTATTCTCAGTACATAGGATACACAGGCACACAGATATTTTCCAATTAAGGAGTAAAATATTATTTTTAGTACGACTATATCACAAATTGTTTGATTTCCCCATACTATGTGAAAAGAACATTTAAAAAAATTAAATTTAGATTGTACTGCACAAAACATTTTGAAAGCTTTTATAAAATTTTAGATGGTTTAGGTTATGTGAGAACTGTTTTTTAGTTGTTGCTATTTTTTTTTTTAACTGGCAGGAGTCCACAGAGGTCTTCAAGCCACTGAAAGATAATTAAATTTCAGAAATTACTCATGAAAATGATTTGAGTAGTGACGTCCTAATGGGATGTTCTTTTTTCCTACTCTGTGCCATCATCCTGGTCTTCCTTCCGCTTCCACCCCTCTCTCTGGACTGATGGTAAGGAGCCAGTATCTTGGGTTCACCAAGGCTGTAAAAGACGGCTGCTGCCTGAGAAGCAACTCCTCTCCCTCACTATCGAACAGAATATAGTCACCTTGTTCCACCACTAAAAGTAACTGCATTCTATAAAGGGTATTCCAACAAAGCCCCCCAACTGAAAGTTGCTAATTGTAAGAAACAATGATCTGAAAATATATACCAAAGGGCTATACAGATTATTCATAAAATCTAAATAATCACTGAGTCCTTTTCTAAGTTTTGTCAAAAATGCTTTACTCGATGTAGTTATTAACACTATCAAAATACTTTATTATTTAAATCAGTTTGGTTTAGTTCAATTTGTATGATTCCTTAATTTATCACAGATAATTTCCTTACCATATTTTCTTCAGGTTGGGCTTCTAAACCCAAACTAAAATTCTTACCCTGGCTTCCAGAAGTGTGACATCCATTCCAAAACTTTGTAACTGACGAGCTGCTGCCAAGCCTGAGACCCCAGAGCCTATGATGATTACCTTTCCTGTCTTCTTAGCTGAAATTTAAAAATGAACAAAAATTAAAACACTATTATAGTTTTAATAGTTTTTATCATTTTTTATCAAGAAAGTTTCTAAATTCTTTACATTATGATATCTCACAAAGTAAATAATTCAGTTATTTTCAAAATATGAAAACTAAATGAATACAAAGTAACAAATATCTGAGACTTATACTTTAACTCAATGTTGAAAATTTATAAATGGAATTCTTTATCTTAAAATTTACTTTCTCATTACTTCAGTCATGTGCTTCAGTGTCTGTAACTGTTGGTAAACTTATTATGCATAATCTCCCATATTTACCTCACAATTATAACTAGGACAATTTGAGCAGTTAACCAATTGATTCTTAAAGCTATTTTCTATAAGCTGTACTTCTGCAGTCTTTCCTTTTCTTAAAAATTATTAAAGCAGAGGGGACTTCTCTGGTGGTCCAGTGGTTGGAACTCTGTGCTCTCAATGCAGGGGACACGAGTTCAATCCCTGGTCAGGGAACTAGACCCCACATTCCACAACTGAGAATTCGAATGCTGCAGCTAAAGATTCCACATGCTGCAACTAAAAATCCCATATGCCACAACTAAGACTAGGCATAGCCAGATAAATATATAAATTTTGAAAAATTATTAAAGCAAAAAAACAAATGTATTATAAACAGGTGTGTGTGCTTAGTTGCTCGGTTGTGCCCGACTCTTTGTGACCCCGTGGACTGCAGCCACCAGGCTCCTCTGTCCACAGGGATTCTCCAGGCAAGAGTACTGGAGTGGGTTGCCATGCCCTGCCTCCACAGGATCGTCCCAACCCAGGGGTCAAACCCAGGTGTCCCACATTGCAGGCAGATTCTTTACTGTCCGAGTAACCAGCGAAGTGCAAGTAGACAGAGAGATGCATTAATTCTCAGAATATCCCTATCTTCTGATTCCTGGCAGACATTATCCAGACACCATTAAAGGGGTAAACAGCATTAAAAAATATAAAAATGCAACCCTTAGCACTGCATTAAATAACTGCTCAATGAGAGAAAACAAACTTCCTACTTTCATAACTGATCTTTTTCATTTTTAATAAACTTTGTTTTTTTCTTAAATTGGAAATTCATATCTTTTACCAAGTATTTTATCAAACCAGAAATTATAGGAAATTCATATTTATAAGATTTTACTTTAAATTTGACTTACAAGAAGATAAGCTTGGGAATATTCTGGCTCTAAATATGGATTCAGAAATCAAAATAAAATGCTAAAAGCCTCCTGGAATCTAATCTAAAACAATGAAGTTCATTGGCCAGTTCTTACTTGGGAGCGGCTTTATCCTCTTATAGATGCCGAAGTTGATAAGACCATGACGCTCTAAATAACTGTGAACTCGGTGGACAAGCACAGTATCACCTACAGAAAAATTAATTTAAATACATGTTTATCTTTTTAGCACTTTAAATGGAAAACTCTGATTCTTCTTTATTTCTCCATCATGAAGTCATTCTATTCATCTTTTCCATAAGCTTCAAGTCATATGACTCCTTTAGAAAAGTGATTTTGAGAACTGTTAGTCTGCATGGTAGTCCAAAACGCCTATCACATAATCTTGAATTTTTAAGAACGACATCCCAATACAGATGAAATGGACAAAACCAACCCTTTAAATAGTAGTATTATGCTCATTTACTTTGGGAAAAACTTTACAAGACCACTGGTGGCAAGTGGGAAATGAGAAATCAAAACAGAGAGCCAACTGAATGCCACCAAAGGACTCTGTGGATTAACGTTGGAACACAGGTCTGGACAGATTATTAGCAATTTCTTGAACTCATTCACCTGTCAACACAAATAAAAATTGAGAACAATTACAAACACATGGAACAGTTTTGCTAAAAGGTTCACTTTTGCACAGCACAGGTGTGAAATAAAATTAATATATGTATGAAAATTAATTAACAAATTCATTATCAAGGAGCCATGAGCTTCTGGAAGAAAATGTCAATTTTCACAATTCAGTTCAAGACCAGTCCTATGGAAAATGCTACTTACTGTTGTAAGGCGCTTCTAATTGTTGGAGAGTAGCTTCAAATGTCAGCTGAATCTTTGGATTATCCAACCACAACTGCAACTGTAATTGAATGATAGAAAACTGTATTATATACAAACAGACATATACTATTTGATTGCCTCAAATATGGGTTTTCCTTTCTATTAAACAGTAAGGTTTTTATTTCAGACAAAGAAACTAATGAAACATAAAACCACTGCAAATGAGTGAATAATTAAAGAAGCTGGGAAATATGTGGCCTATCAAGTAACTTGCCAAGATCATTCAGCTGGGGAGCAACAAGGATTTAAACCTAGATCAGGTATCTCCAGAGATACTGAGTTGATACAAAATTAAATGATCAATTAGATATGTGGTGACGTGTGTGCACAAAAGGTAACTCCTCAGTTATCAGCCTGCACAACTAAATGAACTGGTGTACCATTTACTGAATGAGGGACACTGAAATAAGAGATCATGAGTTGAGTTTAAAGACAATAAGAGGAGCCGAAAGACTGGCATCTAGATATGTAGCTGGAGTTCAGAGAGTTGAGGTTTAGAGCCTCTTGCTTATGGGTAAAACTGAAGTCAAGTGAGAAGAAGAAGGGCTCCTAGCAGAAAAGTACAGGGGAGAGAGGGGAGGACCCTAAGGGCCTCCAACCAGTTCACATAGTTGGCCTGTTGTTAAGGACAACCCTACAAATCATTCAGAGAAGACAACCACCAGGGAAGCAAGAGAAAACCTAGAATACTGTGTTAAGCTAAGGAAGCTGTGTATTTAAGAAAGGAATCAATTATTTCTAATACTTCTGAAAAAAGCTGTAAAATGAGGAATGAAAAATATTACGGTACAATCAATGGCCTCTAACATGAATTCTCTTCAAACTGAATACATACCTACAAAAGGCAAGACCAGCGGAATACTATCATATTTAAGTCTTAGCTAAAAGTTAATAAATACTGCTCCATCAAATTTCAAAGGAGTTAATGTGTAAATAAATTCAGTTACAAAGAGATATGACCAAATTCATATCACAAATTTTCTCTGTGGCCACTGTCAAAAGGAAAATGGAATTCCTCAATCATGCTGTGGGCCTGAGCCCATCAAACCTCAACATAAGCCTTCTTCCTCCTTCCATCTTAGAATACAAAGCTCACATCACAGGTTCTAGTTGAATAATTCTAAAATTGTGGTTTTAAAATCTGGAAGCAAAGGATGCAATTTAACATGAGACAATTGACACGGTTCTTATAGGAAAGAATGACTTAAATTCTGTTTTTTAGCCAGAGACCACAACTCTAAACCTGCACTAGTCCTTCCCCCAATCAATCAGGGAATGAATCAGAGGAAACAAACTGCTATAAATCTACCACTGAAATTCAAGTAAAAAGTGAAAACTTCCCTCAGATGAAACAAAAAAATGACAATTTTGTCTGAAATCTACTTAGAACAAATGTTAACAAGCTACACACAGAAGCTGATTCAATTAGAAGACAAATCAACCTCAAAAATGCACATTAAGACTTTTCCATTCACTTTTAAAAATATCACCCAATTTTTCTTCACAAAAAAGATCCTTTATTCAGTACTACACAAACCTACCAATCAATCTAGCTAAATGGCATCTAACAATCCAAATTTAGCAGTAGTTTTACAATCTAATGGTGAAAATGATGTTAGTGGTGGATAAAAAGACATCTCTGAGTATCTATTCAACTATATCCAGAATAGCTGAAATCCAACATGAGTTTCTTCTACTGTTTCACCAGAGTATAACAAATGGAGCTTCCCTGGTGGCTTGGCCAGCGGGTAAAGAATCCGCCTTCAATGCAGCAGACCCTGGTTCAATCCTTGAGTTGGGAAGATTCCCTGGAGAAGAGAATGGCTCTTGCCTTGAGAATGCCAGTATTCTTGCCTTGAGAATTCCATGGACAGAGGAGCCTGGCAGGCTACATCCATGGGGTCGCAAAGAGTTGGACACGACTGAAGTGACTAACACTTTCACTTCCAGAGTATAACAAATATGTTCTGAACAGTATACAGTTAAAGAATTTCTGATGGGACTTCCCTGGTGGTCCAGTGGCTAAGACTGTGTTCCCAAAGCAGAGTACCTGGCTTTGATTCCTAGTCAGGGAACTAGATCCCACAGGCCAACTAAGACCCCAGAGCAGCCAAATTAAAAAAAAAAAAAAAAGAAGAAGAACCTCAGATGAATAAAGAACGTAAAAAAAAAATTCACAGAAGAAATGCAAATGACTAACAAATATGAAAAAGCAATCAGTCTAAGTAATCAAAGACATGGAAGATAAATGAAATGATCTTGGCCTACTACAGCAGCACAGATTATCATCAATCAGACCATAAAGAATCTGCCTGCAATGCAGGAGACCTGAGTTCAGATCCCTGTGTTGAAAAGATCCCCTGGAGAAGGCAATGGCTACCCACTCCAGTATTCTTGCCTGGAAAATCCTATGGACAGAGGAACCTGGTGGGTTAAGGTCCATGTGGTCACAAAGAATTGGATATGACTGAACAACTAACACTTTCACTTTCACTCAATGAGAGCATCAACTGGGTCAGGCTCTCTGGGAAATAATCTGACAACATGTATCAAATCTTAAAAAGTGTTCATACTTTTTGAGAAGGTAGTTTTCCTTCTAGAACTCTACCTAGAATTCTATCATAAGGAAATAATCAGAGATGAGAGTCAACAATGTATAAAGCTGTTCAGAGATTCACTTTAATAAGTAAAATGGACATTTAACTGTCCAACAGTTAAAAGTATGACCCACCTGTCAAATAAAGTATTACACAGATATTAAAATCAATCATTTAGCCAGAGGAGGATGATGAACCAGATGAGCAGAACAGAATAAGGGTTTCTCTCATGCTGAGAAGAAAAGACAAAGTGATTATTTTTAAAAGTTTATAGAGATTCTTATTGTGTGTTTATAAGGTTACTGAAGAATGAAAAGAATACAAAGAATGCACGGAAGGAGGATCTCAATTTTTTAAGAAAACTAATTTTTAACAGTGGTTATCTCTGGATTATTATCTCTGGATAATAGTAATATAGATAACTTAAAAATTCTTTCCTCTCTACTTTCCCCCCCGTATTCTATATAAAATAATATGTACCTTTTAGAATTCAGGTGGAAAAAAACTAACAAGGAAACTTACTGTGCGGTTTCTAATGAACAGAAAAACCTTCTGGGTCTGCTGTGGTCCACTGATGATATCGGGAAAACAGGCTGCTTCTTGAGAAGTCATCCGGTCATGAGGAAGTCTACTCTGGAAAGCTGCACCCTCCACACCTAGCAAAAAAAAGCAAAGGGTTTCTGGGAAATGTGCAAGTGAATACAGAACTAGGGATAATGATTATGCCTCAAACTCCTTTCTGCCTGAAGAACTTCTACAGAGCTTTGCCTTGTTCACAGACTAATCTCACTTCCTTTTTTAAAAAAAACTCTCAATTTGCTCAAAAGTTGAAACACCCTTAAAAAGTAGTCATTCTTTTGAGCTTAACATTCCTAAAATCAGTTTACTAATGAGAGAAACAATATACATTAAAAAACATAACAAGGCATTTAGAATCTTTTCTTCATCCACAAAAAACTTTAAAATACTTGAGGACATTCAACTGAAATTAGCACCATTAACAGTATACAATAAATTTTAAAACTAAAGAACAAGAGCATAGGAGAAAAGACTAACAAGAAAGCAAAAGAGGCCATGGAATGAAAAACACAATCACATACTTTTTTAGGACAACAATAGGGAACATGAAGAGGATCTATCGTTTAAAAACGAACATATGGTCTCATCAATGGCACCATCCATTAGTTCTCATAATTTAATTGCTGGCAAGCAGTGACAGAAATTAAGCAGACTACAATGAAGAGACAAAAGAAAGCAAGAAATTCATCTTTTCTGGTAGAAACATTAGAAATGCTTTACTACTAACTGCAAGTGAAATATGTCACTATATACACTATATAGTACTACATATACATATATATATAATTTATTTAACAAGTCTAAGTCTTAAATTGGGTATTAAATTGAAATTTTTATAAGCTGGTAGTTAAGTACATCTTTATAAGATATCCTAAGAAATACATTTACATATATTTTACTTTTATTTCTAAGATGATCTTCCCCTGGTAGTCCAGTGGTTAGGACTTGGTGCGCTCTATATAGGATGATCTTATAAATATATACTTAACCATTAGCTTCTGCACATATCAAAACACAATTTAAAGAGTTTAAAAATTCAATATCATTGAAGTAATTATGTAAGTAATAAAATAGGTACCAGATATCCATATTTAATCATTTAAAAGCACAAAAAAACAAGAAGTTGGAAGCACTGATAATGGAAGCAACACTAAAGAAAAGACATCAGTAAGATTAGGAGAACAAAAAGAACAAGGCAGGTAAAGATGTAATTTAGAAAACTACAGTTAAGCTATTGAGGTATTGTTTCCATAAAGACGTCCAAACACTATTTAGAAAAAAATAATGATTAATGAGAGGTTAAGCAAAAATGCCTAATGCTACTGTATATTAGGGAATACTGTTCTTGGAGACAAGCATTAAAACTCATTCATCCACAGTAAGTAAGGAGGGCACAAATAATGTATTCACAACACTAGATCAAATTAATAATCCTCATATTCAATGAATCACAACCTAAAATTAAGACTCTCAGGGAAATTGTTCTACAAGGAAAAAAAAAAAACCAGCCATACTGTGGAGGGCAGAGCAGGAAATCAAGGCATGAAAAGAAGAAATGCTGATTATCAGAAGTAGAGGTTATTTCAGTAAACTGAAAGCTTCCAATACTTTACAGCTTCAAAGTCCCCAGTCCTGTATTCCCAAATCATAATAAATAAACTAAACAAAAAATAAAGCCAAGTCCAAAACCATGTCACATTTATAAGAAATATTATCTATTCAATAACCCTGAGTATTTGAACCAAATATAGGTTATATCGTGGTATATTTCATGAGTGTATACTATTAACAAGAAAACCAACGAACTCTATAAACTTTACGTCTCCTTTCCCAAAACAGGGTAGTTTTCTTTCTTAGTTATATTATCTTCTATATGTATGTTTAATAAGAGGTCCCTGACTATCAATGCTATTGCAAAATACTACTGTCATGACAGCCAGAAAAGCCATGTGGGTGGGGTGGAACCCTCTAAATTTTACATTATATATGGTTTCTCACTCCAAGTGTTATCAACAGAAATCACTTTAATATAGTTAGCTAATTTGAGAAATCTGGAGAAAATGTAACAAGAAATTTTATATCAGTCACAAGTTTTAAATTATCTTTTGATCAAACATAAAAAGTTTAACAAAAGGAATTAAAGGAGCCCAAAGTTGTAACATTAATGTACATGTGGAATAACAATATTCTCCATCTCTAACTTCTGCATAATAGCTAAAAAAAAAAATTATTCTTAAAAATAAACTTTTTAAAAACGAAAAACGGACCCTAAAAATTCTAATTACTGCCTTCCTTCTAGCTTTTAAGGATGAGACTAGTATTTTAAGAAGGAAACCATTATCAAAATCAAGATGAAAAGTGTACAAGATTTAAACATCTAACTTTTCCCCAAAGAAACAAAAAATTTGAAAACTGCTCAGAAGCTAAATCAAAACATTCTTTTAAAAATATTGCAAAATGAACAGACCACTATCTCCTTTAAAGGGAAGAATCTTACAGAATACAACTGTCTTTAACAATGTTCTTACTGAAAGCACCGCAGTGCACACGATCCACAAGTAACTCACGCCTGGCTCTGGAGTGGTTCTATGGTTTGGTGCTGTGTGCACTTTAACGGAGCCTGGTATTCTGGAAGTTCAGAGTGTTTCCAGAAGACACTATCTTATGTTTTTAAAAGCCGCAGGTTCCCTACATAACCAATCTTGCCCTCTGTTCGTCTTTCTTACCACTCCAACACAGGACATTTCCAGCATCACCTTTCAAAATGCAGTCACGCTAAAGCTTAACTGCCCTGTCTAAGCGTCTGACTGGCTCATGCTTTCTCTGAAAACCAAGTAGAGGTAGTCGCATATTTAAAGGAATGACTTTCTGAATCTATTAATTAGACAGAAAAAGGGAGGGGAAAGTGAGACTCCAGGACCATTAAAAACATTACCCCCAATTCTGTTAGAACACAGTAACAGAGATAGGACAACAGAAAAGAAAAGAAGACCTCCATCAGAGTTTCTTGGCTTTCCCCCCTTCATTAAAGTAGATAAAATTTAACTATAACTAGATTTCTAGCTAAAGGATGGAAACAAGAGCCTGATAAGATGTACATATAAACTTCCTAAAATTAGTAACTATAGATGCACCATGTATTAGTGTTAGTCACTCAGTCATGTTTGATTCTGCAACCCTGTGGACTGTAGCCAGCCAGGCTCCTGTGTCCATGGAATTCTACAGGCAAGAATACTGGAGTGGGTAGCCATGCCCTTCTCCAGGAGGTTTTCCCAACCCAGGGATCAAACTCAGGTCTCCTGCACTGCAGGCGGATTCTTTACCGTCTGAGCCACCAGGGGAGCCCTGATGCACTACATCCAGTCTAAGAATAGCTTAAAAATAAAAGAATAAAAAGAGAGAAAAAGGAAGAAAAAGGAGAGCATTTCTTATGCTTTAGATTTTTAATTTTTAGGGTAAATGCACACTTTAAATGATTCTATGAGGGAGAGTGTAAGGAACAGTATATGCATAAGAAACAAGACCTCTGCGTTCTCACTCCTCCGCTGCTGGTATATCCCTAGTTGAGTCATTTACTTTGTGTTTCAGGACCTAACTGATAAAACAGGGGTGATGCAAATACCATCTGTTTGAAGGGAGAAAACTAGGTAAGATGACCTCAAGTTCCCCCCTAATTTTTAAGGTTTAGGATGTAAATACCAACTTGATGTGATTTTTTTAAGGTCAAGATATGATCCTGGTCCCAAGATACTCATGAGGGTCACATGGTTTTGTTAAGAGAAGAACACTGATTACTTATAAGCATACTTTTCTAACTCGGACTGATCATATCACAAATGCAAGCTTCTGAATAAGCTGAACAAGATGAAGATCTAAAGAGACCCTGACGGGCTCAGAACGGTCACCACCACCCTGGAAGCACCTGAAGCGCACGCTCTGCTCCTGTTAAAGGAGCAGCGCCGGTTCTGTATGGAGTCTGTTTTTACTCTCAGCAATACGACACACTGTTCTCTTAAGCGAAAGAGTCAATTTATTAATTATTCACGTAAAAACAAAAAGCAACAAGAAAACTCTATTTCTTCAATATTAAAAGTTCTAAAAGCTATCCCTACTCCTCCGCAGTTCCATAGAAGATCCAGTCATGCATCATTTGATGAAAAGCACTGTTGAAGATTTATCTGCCAGATAAATGAGAATTTTAACTCCTCTAAGACAACCATGTACTGATTATCAAACTTCAATCCTTTGGACAGCATTTAAAGAAGTCTACTTCTAACATTCTGGATCCCCTAGATACTACCACTGAAGTATCTTTGATCCAAGAGAGTAAGATACAAATATTCCCTGGACCTGCTCACACAAACTGTAATAAATAATTTTGAAGTAGATTTAAGAGTTGAAAAGTGACAAACTCCAAAAGTGATACCTATTCCAAATCTATCAAAATGTATATGCAAAATAGTTTTGAGCACTGGCATATACAATAACACCCTTTAAGAGGTAAAGGATGAAATCCAGACTATTCTACTTTGGATTCCTGGAACAAACTTTAACTGTTCCAGACAGGCCCCTATAAGTCATTTAACCCTTTACTTTTTCCTAGAAGTTAAAAATCTCATAGCTTGGTCTGAAAATAAGAGTGCTTTGAGCAGACTTTAAAAAAAAATTTTCATGTGAGAAACAAAATGTTTAAAACTGAAAAATTAACTATGTAATAATGTTAGTTGAAAAACTGTATCCAATACCACTTAACAATCATTTCTAAGGAGTCAACTTGCCCACATAATTCCTTTGATTAATCTTAGAATGCCTTTCCATCCTATTTTTCAGCCTATGGCTTACCCTTTCTGTGTATTATTACGTTATAGTTCTGTGTAAAGGTCCCATGATTTCTAAGCTTATGTTTTATATTATGTTTGCTGTTACTATAAAGTCTGCTGGGGAGAAAAGTACCCGCCATCTCCTCAAAAATATGAAGAAGAGTGGAGGGCTGAGATCGGCCTGAGGACTTCAAAAGATTTTGCTTGCCTTTGTTCTGGCTACACTTTCTATTGTACTACTCTATCCTGTGGCTTGG